CTAGCAGCTAAGGTAAGAATGCTGATATTAACACTCGAGGGTTGTACGGATTTTTAAGTTATTTGATACGTTATTTTGTACGGTTTTTCTCATAGAAGAGGAATAGTTGAAGGAATTGATTATGCATCAACTGGTGAAGTTAAGAAACTAGATGTTTCTCGCATTCGTGAAAGACTTGATCAAGATTGTATTGTGCTTCTGAACAATCTTGGTTATTCAAGCTCTGGAGAAGTATTAAATTGCAAGTGTGCTACATGGCTTTTGATAGGTAGTTTTGTTGCCAATTTGGGGATATGCATGAGGGTTTTGTTACTTTGTGAGGCTTGTGCATTCTGTAATTATTACGTGGCAAAAATGGATGGAGATAGATTTTTTAGCTTCCATCTTGCTTTATTTTCAAAACTTATGCTTCTTTTTTTGTTGCTCTTTTAATTTAACAATAGTCTGTTATTTCCTTTCATTGAGTTTTGTTAAACCAAAGGGCACGAGTTAATGTATGTTCTTGTGTAACTCTTTTACAAGGTTTTGTTTCTGTAATTCTTTTTAATTTTTACATGAATTAACTATTGTAAAAGTATAAAACTGCTTTGTAATTTATGTTGATTGTGCTAAGTGGTTAAGTCTTGGGAACCAATGTTTTCTGCTTCTCTACTTTGCAGCTTGTATGAAGTTGCCACAGCTTGTGCCATGTCTCTTGGAGCAGAGAAACTCATTTGCATAATAGATGGACCAATTCTAGATGATTGTGGACGACTTATTAGTTTCTTAACTCTTCAAGATGCAGACATGTTAATTCGCAAGCGAGCCAAGCAAAGCGAGACAGCTGCTAATTATGTAAAAGCTGTTGGTCAGGATGATTTTTCTTGTGTACCATATTATGATTCAAATGGAACAGCCCCTTCTCAAAATGGGAAGGCTTTTAGTGAGGTATATTCCAAAATTTCAGAATGGTGTTGGTTTTGACAGTGGAAATGGACTTTGGTCCAGTGAACAAGGTTTCGCTATAGGAGGTCAAGAAAAACTCAGTGGATTAAATGGTTACCTATCGGAATTAGCTGCTGCAACCTTTGTTTGCAGAGTAAGTCCCCGCTATTTAATGACATGATGGTCTTATTAAGTAACCAATTATTTGATCTGCCAAATGAAACACGTCGCCTTGTGTCTGCAAAGCAATCACTTTGTTTTCTATTGTTGGCAGTAGCTAGATTTTTATTCTCTTGTTATATCTTATTTGAAGAAACTCCACTGGCAAACAAAACTTGAGAAAACATGGAAATTATTCTAATGATGCCGTTCCATGATTGCAACTTTTTCATCAATAGGTGGCTAATTTATGACATGGCATAGCAAATTTTTTCTGCCATTCAAGGTGGATATCTTGAAATCAATGTTATTTGGCCATGGATGTTCATATATTTTAAGGCTCCAATTTCTTTCTCAAGAAAGGGTAGAGGGCTGTCACGTTTCATTAATTCCATAATGCCTTTCACAGTAGTTTTCGGGAATATTCCTAATAATGTTATTCTATTTATTATCAGGGAGGTGTGCAAAGAGTTCATCTTTTAGATGGGACTAATGCTGGAGTTTTCTTGAAGGAATTGTTTCAAAGAGATGGAGCTGGTACGATGGTGGCTAGGTATGCATACTTCTTTGGCAGATAACTTCATAAATTTTCTTTCAATCTATATTTTCTTTAAGCTGAATGGATGGCCATTTCCATGAGCTAAATCTGATCAGCAGGCATTCAGTCTACTGTTTTCTATATTATCCGATATGTGACAATGGGGCTTCAAGGCATTTAGAGAGTTTTAGTGGATTCCATTCCACCAAAAACCTTTAGATCCTGTTATTGACAAAGTCATTCTCTGCACAAAATAGTTCACACCCTACCCATTCTAGAACAGATTTTATCTTTACAAGCTAAACATGCATTATTCTTGTTTCCAAATTCAGTTGCAAATTTTAAGCTCCTCTTCTTTCGCTGTATTATGTGACTTATTTGGGACAGCATCATGCATTATCATTGCATCTCTGATTTTACTTGTATCACTGTAACAAAGAATGCCGTGTAGAAGCCATGTGTTTCTCTCTCCCTCCCATGCTTCAACAAAAAAAGGAAGAGATATAAAGGATTAAGGAAAGTTGTTTGGCTAGTTATAATTAACGATTTTGAACTGACACATGGATTGACCCCATTATGCAGCGATCTTTATGAAGGAACTCGGATGGCTAGAGTTGCAGATCTCCCCGGAGTCAAACAACTTTTGCAACCTTTAGAAGAGTCTGGCACATTGATAAGGAGGACCGAGGAAGAGGTTTGCTCCTGTAATCATAATTTAATTTTTATACTCATTACACCATTTGTTCAATTGCTCATTATTGTACATGTATTTTATCTCCTCAAAGCACTGAATTCATTCATAGTCATTGAAAGAGAAGGTCAAATTATAGCCTGCGCCGTTCTTTTTCCTTTCTTTGAAGATAAGTGCAGCGAGGTTGCTGCTATTGCCGTTTCTCCTGAATGTCAAGGGCAAGGACAAGGAGACAAATTACTTGGTATGATGTAAATAGCTTTCATTTTGATCTTTCAGTCTTCCAGTAAATGTGGGGCAAAGTTCATTTATTTTTATCACCGATTTAACTACAATTAAAAAAGCAAATACAATATGAACTTTCTAAATTAATACCCACAATAATTAATAACCTCTGACATTTAAGAAAATTTCATGAAACTGACCGCATTGTATAAGCATAATTTAATGTTTATTCCGTCTAATAATTATTACAAAATATCAAAACAAACTAAGATTAATCAGTAGAATCATGTTCCTTGGAGAACTATCCTTAATTTTTTATAGGAGATCTAGATGTATACCAAGCTCATTGGTAACTTACAAACAAGAAATATACAAGACTAAGTTAGCATGATGAACACTTTATAATTACCTAGAAGTATGTATTGGTCTTAGTCAAATATGCATGAAATAATTTTTTTAAGTAGATGTTCTACAAATTAATAACTTACATTAATTAATTAATTGCTGTGCAGCGGATCGTATTAATTTGGAGAGGTAGAAACAAGCATCTATCTAGCAGAAGAAGCTCTAGGAGTTTTTAGTAGTGTGCTTTCGAGAAAGAGGTCTTTTTTAGTGGACGCAAAATGTTTGGTATGGTAGAAATTTAGGTACCTCCTTTTTTTTCTTTTAATAAAAGGGCTAGCAACTGGAAAACATTCTACTCTGATCCTTTGGGAGTTCAGAAGCACCAAAAGGGTACCAGAAATTATAACTTTTTACTGTGTTGTGTAACCCAGTCATCACCGTCTCCCCCCCCAAATTCCATAGTAAGAAACACTGGCAACCACCTTGGTTTGAGTTACCCTTCCCTTTTGGTCTCATCAAAAATGTTTGTGGAACAGCCAATAATATCGTTCTTTTGACACGTATCTGCATATGAGTGGAATAGAGTAGGTGAAATTTCAGAAAGTGAGATGTGTATTTGAACCTAGTTATCTAGATATAGTTCTATGAAGTTCTTTGGATGCACAGATAACAACACAATTGTCAATTATATGCAGATTACATTGAGAAGAAGGCCTCTTCGCTTGGACTGCGTATGTTTTTCCTGCTGACAACACGAACAGCAGATTGGTATGTGTTTCAGGTTCCAACGCTGTGACAAAATGTGCTCCGACTACAAAATAAGAACATCAATATATATATTAGTTTCCACTCTTGGATTCCAGTTAGCTTCAAAGCAGATTCTTACTTCGGTAACAAATTGGCTTTATCTAGAAGTGCCAACCTTATATAAATTACTGACAGTAGAGAAAGGTAGAAATATCACTGTTTTCTGCATCTCTACCTTGTAACTGGATGTATAGGGTGATAGATCTTTCGCAACCGTTTAGTCGTAAACCTCCCCAAGCCAACCACCCGGCCATTGCCACCGAAAACATCGAATAAATTATCCACTTTATTTCAATATTCCCTACCATTCGTTTGTGTTATATAGTCGAGGTGGGTTAGGAAATGGCTCGACAAACCTAGAACCTATGTAGTGATATTTGAACTTTCTACTCTTAGGCCAAGCTCAAGTTTTGTTGTATTAAGTTGATAGTGAGTTGTCAAATTACAATACTCAAAAAAATAAATAAATAAATAAATAAATAATTGAATTTATGATGCTCGGCTCTGCTAAATGTGCCCTTAGAGATACTGTTACTTTTCCACTGGTTTGATGCATTAGTTACATTCTGAATCTCAAACCTTACTCGGGCATGAGCCTGGTAAGGTGGCTGTTTTCTCTCTCTTTTCTAATATAAAATAGTTCCTCGTTCAAACAGGTTTGTAAGGCGCGGCTTCTGCGAGAGTTCAATCGATTGTATACCCAAGAAAAGGAGGGAAAAGATAAATCTATCTCGAAGATCGAAGTAGTATAAGAAGAATCTTCTACCTGATCGGAGTGGTATCCGCCTGGACACAGCTTTTTCATGACACGACAGCATTAGTAGCGCTTGTTAGTTGTCATTGGTTAAATATTTGTTGAGAAAAAAGTTGATGGCAGCCTATATATTTTATGGGATCTCGTCCTATTACACGAGAAGTATTGGATTTGGCCCTGGCTATGTAATTCATGATTCCCTGTGATGAGACTTTCCAAATCCATGGAAGTGGTGATACAACATCGAAGCAGTGCAGGCTCATAAAATTATTTAGGAGACAAGTCAACAATACTTAAAACATTTTCCACATGCTGGGAATAGATATTAAACCCTGAATATTAACGAATTTGGTACGAGTGAAATGCAACATTCAGGAATAAAATAAATTTAAAAGTTGGTCAAGTTTCACTTTATTGTTAAAATGCAAGCAGACATGAATAGAAAAGCATTGTCTTGTAGACGGAACTCCACTAAAGCTTGATAAAGAATGTCACGGGCTTCTTTTGGTCCTCTCATCTGCCTTGACCAACCCAAGAAGAAAAAACTGGGAATTAAATCAGTTCTCCTTGGGCGGGCCCTTCCATTTGAAGTTGTCTGCATATGATTTGACCTGACACAACAATTCAAAGGGATAAATAAATAGTTAGTTTCTCTTCCATTCAAGAGGAAAAAGTATCATCTATCTTTTATTTGGCATGTAAACGAGTGTGGGATCCAACTAGAGTGGATTTTCTTCAATTTTATGAGTGCAAGATGACCAAATTCTCTTTCTAACAACTTTTGGACGATTAGTGAATCATGATTGTGCTCCAGATTTAGTGTTAAAGCAATATGAAACTCTCCATTTAACGTCAGGAAATTAACAGTGTACTATAGTACGACTTGATTGATTTTCGATAGCAGTGGGTGCTTGCATCCATGCTTGCAGTGCGCAGGTTAGGGTAGGATGCGGGGAATAAATACTATGTGCTTTTAAGGAACCAGGACATGATTGGTTTACGGGTAGCACATACTGAAGAGCAATCGCTCTCAGATATCCATGCCAATAGCTAAAAATGTCACTCAAGATGATTGAAGAAGAGTCTCATACCTTCAATAGTGGTGTTTGTGGCTTCTTAACCTGCAAGATAGAAATATAAAAGTAAGGGGACTTGCAGTTCTTATTAAATTAAAATGTAGGAAATAATAATGTACTAGTAAATAGTGATGCCAATGGGCCGAGCCTAGTCTGCTCAGTCCATGTACCCACAAGCTTGAGTTTTTATTTTTATTTTTTTAAATTACCAAACGATGTTTAGTCACTTTTTTTGATGAACTTTAGGCTCGTGGGCACGCTCGTGAACTCGACGAGACGAGCCATCGAATGAGCCCCCGCTCGGCTTGAGCTCAGCCCGAAATAAGCCCAAGCCGCCCATGGGCCGAGCTTCGATGGGCCGAACCGTCGAGCTACTTAACCCTTTTGCCACCTGATCTAGTAAACAAAAACAGACAATTCACATGATTATAGTTATAGGGGAATATGTTACCAATCAACCGCTCTTGCTTGATTATGAATATAATAAATGAAAGGGAAAAAGGACACAAAACTCAGTTGTTCATAGGACGACAAGTATAGCGTCTTTATTTTGGTTACTTCATGAATCACAACAAAAATCAATCTATAATGAATTTCAGATTATATCCCTATCTGTTTGCCTCGACCAAACATAAGTATGCGATTAAAAATAGACAAAATGCTGAAGATATAATTTCCTCTTCTTAGAAAAAGGTTCCAGAACGTCAAATTATAATTTATAACCCTATTTGGCTATTCGTTTACCTCGACCAAACCAAATAAAATAATGCAATTCAAAATAGACAGTATGCTTAAGATATAATTTCCTCTCCTTAGAAAAAGGTTCCGGACGGTAATGACAAAAGATTTGGACAAAATAAAAATATACATACCGCGTATTCCCAACCATGCCTTTCAGCAAATGCTTTTGCAGCTTCTTCACTGTCAAAACCTAGTGCAGAATCACCAACATGGGAGTATGGGTCTCCTGTAGACGTCCAGCCCATCAACGGATTTTCCCATCTACATGTCAGCAACAATAAATACTTACTGTATAGTCATGGTAATAAGGGTTATAAATTGACTGCACACTAGAATCCTGATTCAATAATGAACCATGGAAATGCTGGGAAACAAAACAGAGGAAATTTGATTCTCTCCCCAAAATTCAGCTTACTGCAAAAGAAAAGTGAGAAAATGGAATATATCTGTGGCAATAATGAGTGTCGGCCTGTAAGGGAATGACTATCCATTTTTTGATTTGAAGGGAAGAAGATGAACACTTCTTCTAGTAATTATCTTCTAGGACTTTAAAACTCATAGTGATGATAACTCCAACCACTATTGTGCATGCAAGAAAAATCTTTAGTTATATGTATCGTGTTATTTGGTAAAATAGAAAGTCGCATTTTCCTGCTCTGAATTTTTATCCCGAAATATGTGTGCACATATCATTAACTATTGGTTGTGTTGCAGCATTGGTTTGGAATATCAGAAAATATCCATCTCATTATATCCTGTGTCAATCTAAATGAAACCAACATAAGAGGGGTTAAAGAAAAAATGAGAACAGAGGGAAAAAATTTATAATAATCATCTTACACGCCAAAGTAGTCGAGTACAAAACAATTAGGGTCTTATACTTCAAACGGCATGGCTGCATAGAAACAACACAAGATGGTGTGTGTTTAAGTGATGGAGTGAGATGGAGCGTATGTGTATATGTTAAGCTTTAATATCAATTTGGATCAGAAGTAAAAAACTAACCTGCAGAAATACAATCTTTTTAGCTTAGAACTGCAAAAAGAGGCTACCTTTTAAAATGGAAGATCAGCTTATTCGCTATAACAGAGCTAATAAGTGATCCCAGTTTAGGTTCTTATTCTTGAGTTTAACAACGGTGAAAGAATTGCAAGATCAATTCAGCGGAGGGTGGTTTTGGAAATATACATTTAAAAATTGATCAAAACATCCACTGTCAATCAAAATTATACTACTGAAATCCAATGCACCAATACTAAGTACAGAATATAAATGGACAGTGCGCAAGAGAGACATACTTCTGTGTGGACATGAAATTGATTTTCCACCTCCCAACCTTTCCTGATCCTTGTTGCGTGGCAGTTCGAGCAGGGGAATAAATCAAAACCTAACACAAATTTGATGATGTTTTGATAAGAATGATATTTTGAAATCTCAAATAAAATATATTGCGTCAATTTTTGTATTAAAAGTATATGAGTAAATTTAAGGGACAATACATCATCAAGAATAGGGGGGAAATCAACATTTTCATACAGGAAATAATTGTTAAGTAAAAATGATGCTATACTAGCGTACAATGGGAAAATACAATTAACTCAAATAAAACCTGCAAAAAAAAATTTCTGCACAATCTTACCAAAACTCTAAATACCGGTATTAATCAGCTAATCACAACTTACTAAGAACTATTTAATAGCAACAGGTAATTGACAAAACACAGGGAAATTTAATCCTTATGAAGCTGAAAGATCTAAAAATTATTATATGGATACATCTTTTCCATAAAATACTACCTTTCGGCGAAGGTGTTCTTCGGGAATACCGGATACCAGACCGAACTCACCGGGTTTAATTTCGACCAACGAGTCTTCCGTGGAGAATGCTCTCGATAATGTAGTGATGGAAGATCGGTAGGTTTTGCGAGATTGGCTTGCTAGCCTTTGCAGAGAGCTCGCCATTTTTCCGATACCTAAGGGCAGATTCAGGGCAGAAAATTGATATCTCCTGTGTTGTCTGTTGCGAATCGGAATTGATTTGGGGAAATCGAGCAGGTGGATAAAAATGTAAAATTTAGCGTTTAACGGCTTAGCCGGTGGCAAAGCAACTCCAATAGACGCGACGCGCTGTTTATTTTAAAGAATCAATATTTAAGATTAGGAAAATGCTACGTGTTGATTACAATATTGGATTACAACCTCTCACCAAAGAGGTGGGTCCCGCGATTAAAATAATAGTGGACCCCACTTCTCTTGTGAGTAGTTGTAAACCAATGTTGTACAAATAGAATTATTCTTAAAATTATGTTTTAAGAAATTCTTTAAATTAACATTTTAATTTAGAGAGATCCTATAATTAAATGCATTTAAAAAGTTTTAGTTTTCAATGTAGGAAAATAATCTAAAAAAAGTTAGTTGAAATAAAAGATAAAGAAAAATAATAAATATTTTTTAGAAAATTGCTATTTGTTTGGAAGCCTATGGTGTAACTATCTTATGGTAATTATGTCCCATTTGACACAAAATTATATAGTGTGAGCGTGTGATTGAAAACGAGTATGTAAAAATAAAAAATATAGTTCGAAAATAATGATTGTTAAATATCGATTCACACAACATTTTTTTATGAGCAATGCATGACATGCTCAATGATATATTCAAAAACAAGGGTCAATACCCAACATCCAGTCAATTGTTGTCACCCCATCCCTGCCAAAAGCCCTTGTTTAGGGAGCATTATTCATTTTTTTATCCAGCACCATATTTTAATTACAAGAAAGATATTCAATATATGCTCACTTTTGCTTTATGTCCTCAACTTTTTTCTGTTGTATTGTTATTCTTAACATTTAATTAATTAACATATTTTATCTTTGATCACGATTTTCATCCAAATATATTGAAATTTTTTTTTATAAATTCACGAGTTACGAGAAATATCTAAATTCTAATGAATTTTAGCCGCTGTTTGACACCCATTTTATTCTCATTTTCATTCCTATTTTTTTTCTCTTTCTTTATTTCAATAATACATTCTATCAATAAAATAATATTATACATAAATCCCAAAATTCTCATTATTTTTTAACTATACATTCTTCCATTAACCACTATTCTAGAATTTTTTTTTTTTTTAAATCCAAAATAGGTGTCAAACAGGGACTTAATCAAATTCATTAAAATCGAGATTAGAAGCACATAAAATTACAAGGAATTTTAAAATTAAAATTTCAATTGATGACACATCAACTTTAATAAATTAACAAAAAGGGAAGAATTTCAACGAGAAAGAATTTAAAAAGATTTGGTAAATTAATTAATTTACTATGAAAAAAAAAAATCTTAGCAGGCAATTATCCATTAAAGTCAGCGGATTGCAACCAATTCTTCGAGACAAGAAAAGTGGGTTTTACCAAAACAAATAAAAAGGCGCTCCAGTTGTATGTACTCTGCCGACTGCCTCAACTGACTACTACTTCTAGGGTTTTGGCAAGTGGTGAAAAAAAAAAAAAGACTGGCTGAAATTCGAAATGGCGCCGACTCGTTCTTAACTCTCTCGCACGGCACCCTTTTCTGGTAAACTATTCCAATAATCGGACGTATGCATATAAACTGGCACTGGCACTGGAATTTCAAATTTTATTTGTTTGATTCCTTCGTTTTTCAATTTTGTAATGAAATTGAACATTTCCTTCATCTATAATGTGATTCTAATGTTTCGATTTCATTTTCGAATGGTTTATTTATATGAATTTTGATCTTTATTATGGAATCATGTTGGGGAAAGAAGCAGGCCTGAAACGTCATCTTCAATTTCTATACGAAAAAAAAATGGTGCGTGGTTAAATTTTGGTTGCCTAGTCTGGATGATTCCTCATTCAATCGTTAGAATTTTAGCGATTTTAACAACGAGCAAGTGTTATTCCTTTTGGATTACTTCATTGTTTCCTTTTTTTTTGTTGCAAGGGTTTATGTGCAGGGGTTAGGATATGCCTTGTATTGAAGTTGGCACTTTTTTTCATTTTTCTTGATATAAACAGTGCTCAATTTGTTTAATATAGCTGTGGACTGCATTGTTTCTTCACATGGTATCTGCATGTTGTTGTTCATTTCATACATTTATAAATAAGCTACGAGAGATTCTGAGCTTTTGGTGCTTGTCATTTTAATCTTTGAGGTTAATGTGGAGTCATTAAACGTTGACAGAGTCTGTAATTTATGGAGCCACTGAGTTTTTCTATTGGTCATATAATAATGAAGTTCTGATTGACAAATATTCAGTTTATAAGAATTATTAACCTTGATGGTTTCAGAATTTCATAAGAAAAGAGGAAGATACAATGTATTATATTTGAAAAACGACTGCTTCCATTTTTTCAGCTCCTATAGTTGATGTATTCTTTTCTTATTTCGTGCGTAGTTTTGGGGCTTTTGGGTCTCTTGCTGTTGTGAACCAGATCTCTTTGTGTTTTCAGATGTAACAAGTGGGAGCAATTCATTCATTGTACAAAGGTCTCGAGACTCGCAAGAATGGGTGCTCCTAAGCAGAAGTGGACATCAGAAGAAGAAGCTGCTCTTAAAGCTGGCATTGCCAAGTATGGGGTAGGCAAATGGAGTACTATACTCAAAGATCCAGAATTTAGCACAGTTTTGCGTTCACGCTCAAATGTGGATCTTAAGGTATTGCAATAAGGCTTTATCAATTTTGCTACTTTGATTTTGAAGGAAAATTAGTCTTAGTTGGAATATACATATTTTGATCGAGCAAAAACTTGTGTATTGTGAAATGACACTGATGGTGTTTTTTAAATATGCACATTTTTGCTCCTGTAACTTGATTGTTTTATTGTCATCGGACAGGATAAATGGAGAAATTTGAATTGCATGGCAAATGGTTTGGGTTCTCGGCATAGGGCAAAGGTTTCATATAAAAGCAATCAAGTGTCTCCCAAGATTGCTAAAGATGCTATTGTTCCTAGCTCAACAGTTGAGAATGATTCAGAAGTGCTTGACGTGATGCCTCTTTCCTCATCTAGTGAAACGCCAATGGATGATGGTTCCCAAAAACAAATATCAAGGTTGAATTGCTTCATTTGATGTCAACCATTTATGTCCTTAACTCTGTTGGCTGAATAGAATTAGCATTAAGCCTCTTCATCCTTTTAAAGTTAGTACATACAAGAACAGTTGACACTACCAATTAATTATGAAGGAACATGTCAATTAACGAACAACCAATTAGTTGTGGGATCTATTGAAAGTACTATAAATGCTTCCATGGTACTATTATAATGTTATATATTGGAATAGCATATACGAGCCATTTAATGTTTCGAGTTGGTTTTTGAGGAAGATACATATTCAGCTCATCTTTCTCAGAATAGGCATTCTGGTGGGGGAGGGTCTGGATAGTTGTTTGTTTTGTCATTATATGCACTCAAGATTTAGCAGTGGGACATGGTCAGTGTGTGTCCATGAATCACTGTGTCGGAGTTTGACCTAGCTTGTGTTGAAAGGATTTCTGAACTGGGAAAGAAATTGTTTGAAATGTCTATAGTCGCTAACCTTACAGTTTGGAACAAGACATCTCCATGAATGATTGAATTCTGGCCTTGTACCATTTGTTCTACATATTTGTTATGAGATGTTTTGGCACTCCCTTTCATGAATGCAGGCTTGATGATCTTATATTGGAGGCTATAACTAAGCTGAAGGAACCTCGGGGATCTAGTCTACATGCAATTGCTCAGTACATAGAGGTGATTTCAACTTACTATGGTGCAGAGTGATAGTAAATGTAGCTAAAATTGACAATGAAGTGGTAGTCAATGATGTCATTGTATTTGCTCTATTATCCAATCGATTCAAAATCTTGCTTTTTATAGCACTTTTTATGTTAAACTTACCGTTTATGTTATCTTCTGTATTTTCTTTCATTTTTTGTCAGTTTAGCACACTCAAATTCTGATCAATTTTCATTTCATAGGAGCTACACTCAGTACCTCAAGACTTCGAAAGGACGGTAGCTACACATTTGAAGCTTTTGACAGATAATGGACGATTAATTAAGGTACTGAGCGGTAATCTCCTTTTCTGATTTATCCCATGCATATTGTCAGAATTAAAAGGACGTTAAATTATTTTTCCACCCCTTGCATAAGATTCTTGAAATGTAAAAATGCTTTGGCTATATGTTCCTTGTTTTGTTAGCTGGCCATACATGATGTTGGGTTGTCTCGGTGTTGACATGATAATCATCAGCTCCCTGCTACTGCATTTCATAATTGAGGGACTTCTTACTTTTGTAGTCTTGAGTTGAATTTCTGCCATCATTCTCTGTGTATGTGATTGCTTGTGCACACTTATATATGCATGCCCTTGTAGGCTTCTCTGCGGCTCTGGTAATTGTTGACAAATGGTTGTTGAAAATGAACAATTAGATGCTTTAATTCTTAACTCTGAACCTTGAAGTGAAGGTCACTTTTAGCTTATGTTTTCATATGAAATTTTAAATATAATATCTATTCAAGTTATTGCCTTGCTCAGTTGCTAATTTTTTCCTATATCAAACCATGGGGTGCCATTGAGGACACTGCTTTTGGCATTTAACAATTGATCGTCAAATTCCTGGATCTGCTCCCTAGGGTTTCTGTTAGTCATGTTTTTCCCTTTAATAGCCTACCCTCCTGATACTCCTTTGTTTTGTTAAGTTTGTTATCGGAAAGCTTATGTGGATTGGTTGTGTTTTGTGTGTCTGGTTCATTTGACATTTTCACTTCTGCTAGCGAGAAGGACTTTAAGGCCCTGTTTCAGCCCCTTTTTTTGGGATAAATAGATTTTGTAATAGTGATTTTTCGAAGAATGTGGTTAGAAATTGGAAAAGGTTTTGGGTTTACATGTAAATTATTTTATGGGAGAATGTGGTTGAAAATGAGTTTGAAGAAAAATGAGTTTTTGATAAA